ATTTGTAGACCATAGATTATTTTTTCAGAACTGATTTTGGAATAAACGGAAAATAATTATGATAAACTTCTTTAAGAAATATAAAATGTTATATTAACCGATTACAGGGCTAGTTCCTACAGTTCGACGAAAACATAGTCAGCGATGCACTACCAGATAGACTAATTAAAGAAATAAAGAGGAGTTGTAATGCAGCTAACCCGTCTATCATCTTCTGTTCGATCTATGGTGATTCCTTATTAAAAAATATGTTACCTGGTTTAGTCACATCCACTTGTACCTGCGAATTCAGCTGCTCCTATGGAGAAAGCTATATTGACTGTACAATCAGACAACTGAGCTCACAAGTTAGTAAGAACCTCGCTCTATGGTTGGACAAAGGCATGATCAAAACAATACGTAGCTCGGTTCTGTCACATTTCATCGATGGCGGCCATGAAGTAAATAGAAATAAATCGTTTAGAGTAATTTATAGTAAACGTAATACCTTTATTTGTAGGTTTTGATCTCATCTCTTATACACCAGAAGCACTAACGACGGGTCTTTATGTTAATAAAAAATTGCAAAAACTTTATCTCTTCCTTGATTAAATTGTCTTGAACAAACGATCACAGTTATAATTATTTTCCATACTCATTATTCGTTTACTTTACTTCACCGTTTATCTTGAATTATACGCTTCAAACACTGATTGCGAAATTTTAATAATTTTTCATGAATGTTATTTCTGTCTTTTCATAGTTGAAAGCATCGGTCAATTGAAGCTAGACCACCAGAGAAAACTTGGAAGAGCTGGACGGCTATTTTCACGTTTTCTCTGGTGGTCTAGCTTCAATTAACTCACGCTTTCAACTATGAAAATACAAAATCTCCACAAAAACCCCTTTCTGATTTCTGTCTATTTTTTCAAGTTGTTGACCTACTTTCTACTATGAAACATTGTTTCAAGACCTTGTCATTTTTATCACAACTAGTACACTTATTATCACACCATCAGTTTACACCGGTTTACCTAATGCGTTTAGTTATTTAATATATTCCACTATCATCAATATCTCATTAACCGACTAGATTAATTTAGTATTTTTATATGTATATACATATATACACACATTACTGCATATTAGAGTAAGGCATAATGAGGATCTGATTGAAAACAACTCTGTTTGCAAATGTATGTTGTTGAAAATTATAATACCTCTTTCATATTTTGATGGATCTGTAGGTCATTTACTATGGAACTCTAGTAAATGACATAAATATTAATCTAGAAGTTTTCAGATTTCCAGTGATTGTTACTGATTGATCAACTTTATTTTGAGATCATGATTGGATCAATGCTAGACCACTGTTGAAAACCTGGAGCTACTGCACGACCGTTACGTCCTAGTATGGGACTCCTCAACAGTACTGTTTTAAATTATCAACCTACTAGAATAAACCATAATTATTGTTAACTTCTGCTAAAGTTCGTTTGAAATTAAAATTCTGCTCAATATCGTATCGTATCCTTCAATTTCGAACACAAATATTTACAGTTGCAAGATGAATCTAGTTGTTAGCATGTGCAAAACAACTCACGAATAAATTTAAAAATAAATTCAAAAAAGTAAGTAATTATGATAATACAGGTTTATTAATTCTCTTTCTTCCTCCTAAGTTTTGGGCATCAGATCTCTGGTTAATCGCAATTCTCTGGCGAGAAGTCCCATAATAATAGGACAGAATGGCCGTCCAGTGCTTCTAGATTTTTCATAGTGGTCTAGCTTCAATTGACTCATGAATTAAACTATTAAATTAAGATATATTATTGTTAATTCCCTTACTGTGTTAATTTTTCTTTCCTTTATACTGATACCGAGTGAGACGTTCAGTGAATATGTTTACACCGAATCCTAGATGAAAAACCGTTATGTAGTGTCATGAAACTCATGATAAAGTTAATATTTATTTATTTATTCGAACACATAAATATTGGTACAAAGGGGCACCAAATACATATGCGCCACACAAATCTTATTTGATTTGTGTAAGGGCTGGGATACTGCCCGGGTGCCCAAACCGAAACAAGTGGTTTTCATAAGGGGCCACACCCGAAGCCTTTGACTTAAATGTCTGATCCACAAGACAGTGGAGCATCGTGAGGAGATGCAGTCCCATGGTGGCCGGTCACCAGCGATTGATTCATACGCCATTTGTTCCCTAAGGATACTGGAGCCGGCCCATGTGCACCATTGGTTTGGAATGAGAGTTTTCCAACTCCCATAGGTGGACCCTCCGTGTCCACCAACCCAGTTAAAGCACCGGACATTCGCTTTTCGTCCTCTCTATTTCTTAAACAACACCCCTGGTGTGAGAAGGCAGTGAGTAGAACTTCCCTGTCAGAGGCTATATACGCGTGGCCATGTGAGCATTTAGAGAAGGAGAGCGGACTCTTCCCACTCTCAGCGTCTGTGTTATTATAGTAGTTCAGTGCCAGTATTTATTGTAAGAATTTCTTTTCTCTAGTTTTTTTATTTATTTAAAGTTTTAAGAATGAACACACTATTCAGTGCTGTAAAATTGAAACAAAACAACTGTTGACAAAATCACAGTTATTCAAATGAAAGATTTTCTTTTTCTAACGATTCATTGCTTTTGTAAGCATCTAGCTTTCTTTTTATATACTCATGCATACGGAGTTAACCACAGAATGATTCATTATCTCCGAAACATACACCATAGATACTGGGACACGAAAAGTTCAATCAACAGTCAATTTATTATAAGCAAAGATTAGTGGCTAGCAGTGGAATCCAGTTTGACGCAGGTTTCGTCCTATTTGGGACTCGTCAGTTGGATGTACCTGCATCTCAAAGTTGATGCTCACTCCACAACTCGAACCCAGTACCGTTCACTTCTAAAGCCATCGCGTTATCCACCTAGCTACTAAGTCCTGACATCTACTTGTTTGTGCAATGGGGTAAAGTTTAAATTCACTTAATATTGTTTGATTGAATCTTCTCAAATAGGACGAAACGCGCGTCAAACTGGATTCTACTGCTAGCTACTATCCATCTTTGCTTATAATGCTTGTGAATTAAGGCTATATCGAAGCAATATGCATAGTATGCACATATGCCAATTATAGACTGATCAATTACAGTCCTAAACATCGACGGGAAGATAATACCAAGTGAAGTTAATTAACTATTTGCTGATTTCTTTCTATCCTATTCGTTTAATGTACAAAAAAAAAATGAAAATATTTGCCAAGACAAGAAACACATTTCCTTCCACTTCTACATTTCGTTAACACCAAAAAAAACAAACAGGGAAAAACCAAAAAAAAATAATCAATAATATACAAGATTTGTTCTTTGTGATTAATTAATATTTATCTTACACATAACAACATGGATTAAGGCCACATACATGCACACAAATATATGCGTGTATCCATGTACATGTACAGATGCATATACAAAAACTTGTACAATATAATAATAATAATAATAATCTACTAATCATGTATCATGACATTCAATGAAAAATAAGAGATCAAGAGATAAATCATTTCAATAAATGATAACGTTTATATAATGATGATCATGATGATACTGATGAGGCAACTTTAACAAACGAGAAAAAAACAACCGTAGTAACAGTAAAAGAGTAGTTAGCAACTATTGCATACCCGCATACAATAAAATTGATTGTAAAAGAAAAAAGTATAACAGTTTAAGTACAATCTTGTAAAATACTGATTGTATATTAAATTAAATATAAGAACTAAGCAAGTTAAGAGAATAGTAATTGAAGAAGTAGAAAATAAAGAATCAATGTTTAAGTGAAAAGATATGCTAACTGACTAGACTTCTTATTCATAGATTATCGTTAGGTTCTTGTTAATTTATCAGTATATATAAGTAAGTAAGTAAGTAAGTACTGCGTTCGGGTTTATATACAACTAGAGGGTATATATATATATATATATATGTGTGTGTGTGTACATGAATGTATTTGTATGTATGTGTGCTTATTCTTTTCCACAAAGCGAGTTACTAAGAAGGATAATTTAGATAGTGGAGAAGATTTGTAACTCAGATGGGTGATTTTGATGTTGGTTTGTTCTCTGAGCTGGATGGTTGGGTTGTGGAGCTTTCATCGTCCTTCTGAAAGACATCATCATCACAAACTTCAGGTACCCGAAGTTTGAAAGCTCCACGACCCAACCATCCAGCTCAGAGAATAAACCAACATCAAAAAAGGATAATTTAGTTATGAAACTTTGTTTATAAAGTACATCGTTTGTTTGTTTTTCTTCTTTTTTGGATTGATAATTTGTAAATGCTTAAATATATATATATATATATATGCAAAGGTAAGTAAATGAATAATAATAATAACTTCTCTATCAAACCTTCCCTACCTTTAAAAACAATCGAGTCATTTAGAACATTCCATACATGTGAATACACCGGTAACACGAGAGAAATACAACAAATTTATCGATCGATACAGAATCAATATATAAATGAAAACTGTAAGTTCAAAAAAACAAAACAAAAAATAAAGACTTGGTTTACCTTTGGTAACAGAAAAATCACTATTTATAATCTGAAATGATCATGGTCGATGTATGTGTATGTATCCGTATGTTTCTTTATATAAACCCTTTAATACAGAATAATTGTCAAATATTGATTGTGGCGATGAATCTGATAGTTCGCTAGGGAAGATTAATAGTGTAATCGTCAATTGTAGAATAAATGTCCAGTGGTGATAATGAAGGAACACGAACACATTCAGTTGCTTTACGCATAAGTGTAGAATTATCGCGTAATGTTTTAGATCGAGGGGGATTGAGAAGCCAATAGTGTGTACCACTTATATATATATATATATATATATATATATATATATATATATATATATATATATATATATATATATATATATATATATATATATACCATTTTTCTACAGAAATTATATCTCACAGAGTTAAAATATTCAATTAAAATAGATTACTTTTTCGACCTTCATCATACCATGGTGAAATGACTGATTGATGATTAATAGAACATGGTAAAGGTGATAAAGAAGAATCTGATGAAGTTGATGAATAAGGTGTTAAATATTTACTACAATCTTTAGTCCGATTAAAATATGATAATTGATCTTCATCATCAAATAGCATTCGTTCATTTTTTTCTTGACGTTTTAACTTTCGAAATTCATACTCATAATGAGCTCGTGAGATAGCTGCATCTAAATCCCAATTATATTTATGTAATAAACGTTTACTATGTGATCGAGATACATAACCTTTACGGCATAGTAATTCAAATTTTAACCTTCTAGTAGCTTCTTCATAGTCGTAACTGCTGCCTATTAGTACAGCTTGGCATTCAGATTCAGTAGCTTGTGGAACTTCTTTCATTAGACGTAAAACTAATTCTCTATGGAAACTCTTTAAAGAATCTTTACAATTTTCAGATTTACCACGTCTCAGTTTAACATCTTTCAGTGGTAACTCGTTTGGAGGACATAAACTAGTAGAGTCAATGTTTGTGTAACCATCAATTGTAGAATAAATGTCCAGTGGTGAAGATGGAGGAACACGAACACATTCAGTTGCTCTACGCATAAGTGTAGAATTATCGCGTAACGTTTTAGATCGAGGGGGATCGAGAAGCCAATAGTGTGTATCACTTATTTTTACTCCATTTTGTATAATTGGATAAATGCGAACATTATAACGGCTATTTCCAAGGCTTAAAGCTTTATGTTGATCCAAGTCACATGGAAGAGGGGACAACTGAGATGTGGGTAATTGCAACGAGGATGATACACAGCATCTATCTTTAAAATCAATTTTTTTTACTGGTTCTTTGCCTAAAGCTTCTTGTTTTGCAAGAGCAGCTTTAAGCCAAGGTGGGCAAGCACGTGGAGGAGGAGGTGGAACAGGCAATTCTGCTTCAAGTTTAGCCAATATAGGATCATAAAAAATAGAGGAACAGTCATCTATAGAAGACGTGTAATCACTGGAAAGAGTGGTTGTATTTGTCGTTTGATCATCGATACAATCCAAGCAGTTCTCGAATACAAGATTATCTTGACCATAGTCAAACTCCTTATCGCGTTTATCTCGGGACGACTGACCATGCTTACCATTCTTCCACTTCATTAACAGGTCTTTAGAACAACTACCAGAAGAAAATGAAAGCTCAACACCAACAGGTGATGCATTTCCCTCTGCTGCCGAACACTTTGAATTGTTTCTTAACAAACATTTTGATCCTGGTATTCCTAATCTTGATTCAGGAGAAAAGTTCTTATTTAGTAGACTATTCTGTTTCGGAAGAGATAATGATCGACGTAGACCAGATAGTGGAACACAACTATTAAAGATTTTAGCATGTACATGTGTTGGTGACTTTCGTCTAGGTAAAGTAGGCGAAATACATCCTCTTGTGTTCATGGAGGAAATGAAATTGATTTGTGATTTATCTATGGGTTTAGTTTCTGAACTTGTATTCATATGGTTTAAGATATTTTTGTTGTTAGCAGTAATATTTATCACTTTTATTATGTAAGAATTTGATTTATGTAAATATTTCCGTGATCCAGAAGGTTTACGTTTGTTTGTATGAATATTTGAAATAACTTTTCCTTTTACAATCTTATTATGAATATAACCATTTTCTTTATTTAAAGAATAATAAACTCCCATAGTGAATATTGAGTTCGATTAAAAATAATATTACACATAAGTATTCCAAATGTTCTATACATACCATTCTCCTGAATTAAAGAAATCATGTGCAAATGCGTTGCTGAAATCACGAGAACTAAACATTTAAGTCGTAAAGATTGTTAACCAATAAGAATAAAGTTAGTTTGTGATTGGTTTATTGGTCTACTATTCTATTGGTTGATTGGATCTCGTGAAGGTCAATCGATAAATTGTCTCGTTTAATTATTGTGATAAGTTAACGCCCTCATTATCTATATGGCAAAACATTAACTCACTAAGAGATTAAATATATTTTGTATTTTACTTGATGCTGTAATAAGCATTAACTGCATATATAAATTAAAAGCACATAAATGACTTTTGGATCGATCTTATTATCCTGTAATTCTCCATATTTTGATTTGTGGTCACTCGCAGAATGTATCCACAGATATTATGATTAAGTTATTATTTACAAGGCCTCTGTCCTAATTATTAATAATCAATAAGCCCTAAGATATTCAACAGTCTAACAAGGGTTGCCTGGATAAATACTGTTGGTCAGGTAAAGAACCTGCAAAATATTTATTCAGGACTGATCTGTCTATAGTCTATTATAAAAATACAAAGTGAACTGGTACATAGTATTAATTAGTTTCTTCATTCACAACGAGTTAGTGAATGATTAAATTTCAATACGAATACAAAAGTTGATTTGCTTATTTCCAACCTACGCTACCTGCAGCGAAGGCAAGATATATCGAGAGGCAAGAGACTTTCACTCTTTATTAAATTATGGCTGCGAAACATGAACTATCAAAGTAGAAGTCATAAGTAAGTAGGTGTTCGTACTTATCTTCGAATCATTCTTTAAAAGTGGTGATTCGGGAAAGTCATAAATATATCTAACACCTAGTCATCCTGTAATAAAATCCTAATTATAATCTGTGGATTGTAAGAATGTTAGTGGATGGCAAATTAAGTTATAATCAATTCACTAATTGTCCACTGATTTATGTCAGTAGGTGCCAACTTTCTTTTTCGAGAAAACTCACAATAATTTGGAATTCTTAGTACATCTCATCAGTGAAGTTGCAGAATCACGAATAATACTTAAGATGAAACTAGTAAATTCACTCACTTTCAATAAGATAATATCATGACTATACACCTTGTTATACAGTTGTGTAACAATCTGTCTTTTTATGTTCATATATGTTATAAATTATGAAGAATTACATTTACAATTACATGATGTTCTAGATTTCAGTCATTCGCTGAGTAACAATATCACAAAATCATGTATGAGTCAAAATGAAAATACTTTCATCGGTTTCAAAGATTCGTCTACATAACCAAACTTTATTTAGATGATGTTTTGGATGATACAAATCGGCTAAGTGCTCTGGCGCGAGACTGATAGGTCCTGGTTCGAATCTTGTGAGGCGAGGTCGTGGATGCGTCCCAAAATAGGAAGAAACGGCCGTCCAGTGCTTCCACGTTTTCCTTGGTGGTCTAGCTTCAACTGACTCATGATTTCGACTATGAAAATACTAAATCTCCACAAAATCCCTTCTGATAATAACAAGCGAAATAGCTGGATAAATCGTTAAATTTTCTACCATTCTATATTTTTTTGGGGTTTATATGGTATAGTGAAATATTTCACATAAAATAAATGTTAGAAACTGAGATATCGAAATTGGAGTGAATTAAGAATCTTATAGTATGTATTCACCGACATCCTGGTTCACAGAAGGGAGGGAGAATAAAGTTAATTAAACAAATTATATATATATATATATATATATGTTGAGATCCCCCGGAGAATAATTCTAAGACCAAAGAGTCAACTAAGGTTATCTCGACCCAGTTTTGAAATTCTCCAGAAGTGTGTTTGACTGAACAAAGGAAATTAAAATCTCACTATGTGCTAAATATATCGTCTAAAGTGGGTTTGTTCTATAATGATGGCATTGTATAGATGTCATACAATATGGAATGAGTGAAATATAGACTACTGGATTCCGTATCAATGATCTAAAAATATAACAATCATCTATCGGTTAAGGGCTTCGGCTTGAGACTGGTAGGTCCTGGGTTCGAGTCTTGCTCGCGAGAGCGGGTTCGTGGATGCGCACTGCTGAGGAGTCCCATAATAGGACGAAACGGCCGTCCAGTGCTTCCAGGCTTTCCATCGTGGTCTAGCTTCAACTGACTCATGATTTCAACTTTGAAAAATCACCATAAAACTTAAACATCCTAAATTCAGTTTTGTGTGAATCTATATGTGAACACTAATTAGTAATTATATAGCGCGATGAAATAAATGTCAAGCTCTTCTTTGTCTTCAACGGTTTTTTAGTTCTTGCCAGTCAGTGACAAAGAGATAGCTTATCAAAATAAAGTATGATTCGTAATAACTATTAAAACATTCAATTATGCGACAAAGAAATCTATAATATTGATAATCATCTTTACATAATGTAAAAGTTGAATCCTATGATAAGTAATCAGTAATAAGAGCACAGAATAATTTATATCAATCATGTAACCAGGTTAAGTGACCTAAATAAGATCATAAAATGAAGATCACTAGGATGTACACCATTATGAAGTCCCATGAGGGGAAGAAATAGATGTCCAGTCCTTTATAGTTTTCAATAGTTGTTTAATTAGGATCATTCTGTAGTGTTAGAATACAAAATTCAACAATCTCTCGATTGAGTAAATGATGTGAAAATAGAGGAACAATTTGTCGAAAAGATGAAACAAATAATAATGTTAGTGAAGATAAGAGAGACAATTACATTTGACTACGAAAGGTCGTAAGAACAATAGTCAAATTAGGTCATCCAATAGCTAAGATTACTATTGATTAATTGGCCTTATGGTTGGCCAAGAGAGGAGGAGGGGTTGGAGATATTTCTTCTGTACGCATAGCTCCGGTTTCTTCATCCGGACGGCTACTGCCTCAGCTGCTTGAAGAACTTTAAATATGACAAGGTTTGGCAAAAAATTACTGACCCTATAAATAATTGAAAAGGATTGGTTTAATTAATTTGGATAGTATAATTGTAGAACCGGAAGAGAGTTTATCGAAAAGAATATTCTTCGTTCAAAGATATTATCAGTAAAATGAAACAGTCTATTCGGAATAAATGATAATCATCTTTCGTTTTTCTCAGTATTGTTTGTATGAGTCTTCCCATTGATTCTTAGGACTGAAACTGGTCTGTCTCTTATTGGCATATGTAAATACTGTGCGTATTGCCTCGGTGTTGCCTTAATTCACAAACATTATAAGCAGAGATGGATAGTGGCTAGCAGTGGAATCCAGTTTGACGCGCGTTTCGTCCCATTTGGGACTCGTCAGGTGGATGTACCTGCATCTCAGAGTTGATGTTCACTCCACAACTCGAATCCAGTACCTTTCACTTCAAACGCCATCGCGGTATCCACTCAGCTACTGAGTCCTGACAGCCACTTGCTTGTGCAATGGGGTGAAGTTTAAATTCAATTAGTATTGTTTGTTTGAGTCTTCCCATTGATGTTTAGGACTGCAACTGGTCAGTCTCTTACTGGCTATGTGCATACTGTGTGTATTGTCTCGATATTGCCTTAATTCACAAGCATTGTAAGCAAAGGATGAAACGCGCTTCCTGGATTCCACTACAAGCCACTATCCATCTTTGCTTATCTTTCATTTTTGTTTTTTGTTTACTCTAAATCAAATGAACTTTATTTTATTTACAATCTTATTCTATCTTATTCCCTTATATGGATAGGTATTTTATGAACTTTTTACAAGTATCAAAGTTCTTCAGTCTGGAGTGTTTTTTTTTTTCGGGTAAATAAAATTGACGTATTCAATTTATTCAATACTCAACTATTACTTATGTGTGTAATATCTGTTCAATGGTTAACAACGTAAGGTAGAAGCCGGAATTGGAAAGCAAAACAAAAACAAAATGAGGTATCCCCTTGGTTTGATATTTGAACAGTTTACTACTTGGCGTAATGACGGTTGTTTTGTTGTTGTTTTTACCGTAACAGTTATTTTTTTTATCGCCACAGTTTACTGTAATAATGATTCATATTGCAGAGGCTGTTATCGGTGTTCTGGACTTAACTGGCTGGTCTAGGCAGAAGCAGGACTGACAAGTACTCAAGATTGTTCATACGGCTTTTGTGTATCATTGCTCCAATCGATAATAAATTGACCGATAAAATTCGATCAGTACTAAGGACTAAACGAACATGATATTGGTTACCACTGAGTGACTAGCCATTGTGAACATAATAAACTGATTTCATTTAATATGACTTACATCGGCTTTCAGAAATCTATCAAATTAATTTTATTAGAAAGTTCAAAACATATTTGTGTTGTTGAATTTTATAGAAAGTCAACGTTTTAAATCACCAAAGACGACTTATGAAACCCGTTGTGTCATTAATAAAAAAAATATGAAGACTATTCAGAGAAAAAAAGACACTTTTTTCAACGAAATCACCTAGTGAAACTGTGCGACCATATTTATAGTTAACATGAATGGTAAACATTTGAAAAATAGGGTGACATTGTGGCGTACTTTATTTAGATATATATCAAATATCGAAATGAAACTTTAATGTAACAATGAGGATTTATGATACATCACGAGTAAGTCGAAACTATATATAAAGCCGAATTATGTCGCATTTACTTATTCTGTAATAAACGAGAACACAAACGGGGACAAACAAGCGTATCTGAGCACAAAATTACAGAATCACGTAGTAAAATCTGAGGATCATACAGTAAATACATCATTGGCAAAATGTCCATCGATAGTCTCAGATCTGATTGTTCCCTCATTTTCATACCAATCACTTTCTGTCCTTATTCTCTTCTCTTCGATCTTTTCAGCCTCCTGCCGCCATACATTGTACTTTCGATTGGTGATACATACTACTTATATCTGTCTGCATCAGTAGTACATATCACTATCCGA